TGAGCATGCTTCTGCTGCAGGGACACCCAGGTGGGTTTCCCCTCTCCCCCAGCTTCTGGGTGATGGATGCAGGTGGATGTTTCTTGTAGTTTTCTGCATTCCTTCTGGTTTTTCTTTAAAAAAGAAGAAGTGTAAAAAGTTTGCGAAGCTCAGGCAAAATCATAAAGGGGGATGTGGCCGGTGCTGTTTCTTCTTACTTGTTTTGTTGAAGAGACTTGTGCTTTTGCTTGTGACAGGATTTAAAAGCTTGGGCAGGTTTGGGGTGCTGGGAGGAGGCGTTCTCTGTTTGCTCTGTTGCAGACCAGCAGGGATCTCCGTTAAATCTTTAAAGAGACTTTTTGTCATTGCTTCAGCTCAGCACTGGAATGGGTCTCTCTCAGTGGCTGTTGGAATAAAACTGTCTGTGCTACAAATTCCTCTTCACAGGTTGGACGATTTGTTGAACTTGTAAAATGCTAAGCACAAGTAACTTTTATTTCAAAAGAAATGCTTTGGGGGTCTTCTTACACTGTTTTACTACCCTGTTAAAGATTTCTCTTGAGTAAATAGTCTGGCTTTCAAAGGTGGTGGACTTCATAGTGTGTTCTGTGGTTAAGTTGTTTTTGTTTTCATCTTAGCCTTTTTTAATCAATGTGAATTCCTAAAAGTAAGCCTGTAAGACGGCATGCAAGAGGTGCTCCCACAGATGGCAGTCTTCTGAAGCTGGGACATATCTAAGCATCTGGACCAAAGATCCTCCTTGCTTTTATAGATTGCTTCTAAAAACTTACCTCTGGCTCTTTTGATATCTTCCAGTGTTTCTCAGACATCAAAAAAATAGTCAAGAACAGATGGCAATTTTGTCTTCTGCATTGTGCAATCCCACACAGTCCCCCTTCTTTTATCTGCGTTTGCAAAAAGGATTGCTTCAGGTGATTCCTCTGGTTATGGACACTTCTAGTTATGCTAATTTGGTTTGTCACCTGGAAGACAAGGTTTAATGTATGAAACTTAAAGAAAAATACAGTATTATTCCCCCCACAAATTAAACTAAATACTGCACTCCCGAAATCCTGGCATCAGGTCAAATAATTGATTCTCTCTTCATGAAATTCCAGCTGGGATTGACTTTGAAATAATAAGTGAATAAAAATCGCTATTTCAGAATTTGATTTTAGTGTGAACTCTAACAACATGCTGAATAGGTAAATAGAAGCTTTATTCTTTAACTCCTCTGTATCATAGGAGAATGACATAATTCTTTTTAGAAGAATGCTTTTGATGCTTAAATATATTTCCTAGGATTTTATCATCTGTTTTAAGTGAATTAAGTTTTTTTTTTTTTTTGTCATATTACATGACTCTGCGAGGGAGGATGGTTAATAATTGCCAATTAGAAATAAAGAATGATCCTGCCCCTTAAACCTTAAAGCAAATATATTCAATAAGCTGATACTTATTTGGGGGCAAAATGAGAAGGGAAAAAGAGTGAGCTTCACTGTTGTAGAATATTGCTCAAACTTACTAATGTGTGGTGGCAAGTGCAAAGGCAAGCCTTACACTCTCAGTATTAGTGTCTTTATTTCCAGAAGCTAATGTAACATCTTCTTTGTGATAGCTTCAGAGAAGAAGGCAAGCAGTGATGGTGTCTTTAGATTACTAATGTCAGAATCTTTGTTAACAAATGAGGCTTTTAATAACTGGAAACATTAAATGAACTTTTTGGCCCCTTTTCACCATGTTTTGTGCATTTTTCTTCACACATAAACTCAAGCTTATACAAGGAGACAAACTGGCTGTTTGTTTATTTGTTTACCTTTTATAATTACGGAGTGCAACTGTAGGCTTAATTGGATAAAGCTTTTTTTTTTTTTTACAAGTTTATTGAAAAGTAGAATTGTTAAAATTAGGTAGAGTTCTTTCCAGCACATTCATGAGTTTGCTAGAAATTGGGAGTGTTTGATATCTCCTGCTAGAGCATGGAGACTAGGGAGTGCGGAGTGTCACTAGGAAGACAGAGTTGTCAGGGCAAAGCAATCTCTATTAAACTAAGGTATGTGTTTGTAAGGGGGAAAAAAAATCGGATGAGCCTTCAAGCATGCAAGCCGATCTTTATGTCCTCTTCAGTAATAATACGTATTATTCAGTTTAATACTAATATTAAGTAAGAATTAGATCAATTCTTTCAAAAGGTTTGCGTGGGAATTTAGAAGATTTATCAAAATCTGAATTTGGCTTGTACTTTATCCAAATGTGTAAATAACTTAGCACTTCATACATGTTCTTCTAATGTAAGACTTATCGGTATGCAGCTCAGTTCTTCAGACTTTTTCCTTTGTAGATCGCTGTCTCTCATGTAAGTTCTCACAAAACTTGTAATAGCGATTTACTGCATCTGTTTTGTCCTCGTTTGATTTCATTTGGCAACGTGGCTTGACCCTTACAGTGTATGCAGTAACTTCTAAAAACGTATACTAGCAATTGCCAGGGGCTGCTCCTTTTGCCTAAGCATTGAGGCATCATTCACATGCACAGTAGGGCAGAATTCATCTGGCGGGATGCAGAAGTCAGGTGCCTAGTAGGCCGAAGTGCCTGTCCTGCTGGCACTGAAGAGGCAGTCTCGACGGTCAGCTTTGCCTGCACACCTGGTGTTAGATTGCTAAATGTGAGTTGACTGAATCCCATTCAGCGAGCACGCGTCCTTTACAAACACAGTAAATATAAACTCTTAATATATGTCTTTAAGAATCCAATATATATATAATTGTGTATTAGAGATCCATATATATATTTTTTTTCATGTGGAGCTTAGAGATACATATATAAAGGTAGTTATATTTTCTAAAGGGATTAAAGCCTTCAATTTTGTCTAACTCCAGGGTTGCGGTGCCTTAACAGGAATGTTATATAGTTCAAACCCTTTGCCTGTGATTATTCTGGTGAAGTTAATTCCCACATAGAAACATTTATACTGGTGCGCTGTAATCTTTGCTACAGATTGTTTAGGTGTAGCCAGTTCAGCCTTGAAAAAATTGCATCTGTAACTGAGTTAATCTGTTTGTAAATCATAGTTAAGTCTGTCCAAATTTTGAAGCCAGGTGCTGCAATGTGCTTTTGAGAGGAGCAGATAGGGCTGACCTTATTTACCATCTTCAGTAAACAGTGACATGCAAACAGATTAGACAAAATTGTCTTGGAAGTAATGGAAAAATAATAGATTGTAAATCTGCTTATACCCCAGCTTCTGACAAACTAAAAATATGCAGAAGTGATTACTAGTTCAGTGTGTTTTACTGTACATTCTCCTTTTCCTGTGAATTATTTCTTCTGAATCTCTGCTTCAGCACAATGCCACAATGCTTTCTTCCTACAGAAAAGAAATACAGCTGTTTGCCTTTTCAGTCATGGAGTTAGTATCTGAGAAGCACTCAACATCACATTTTTGATCATTGTTCTCACATTTGTGTTTTGTTACACTAAACTTTACTTCTGTTCTTTAAAGTAAATTTAGATTATATTCACAGTGAGTTCCAGTCAGTTTCTTTCTATAACCTGCAACCGGAGCTGGACAGGAGATATTTAAAAAGAATGGTAGAATGAGGATTTTAAATGTTCTTCAAGAACATTTGTGAATGTTATCAATCCAAATGACTCCCTCTTTCCTAAATGGAGGGCAGAAAGCAGAAAGCATCAGCTTTTCATACTGTAAATGAAAAGTATAAGAGTATAAGATCTCCTGTAAAGTGTACGTAATTTACTCATCATAGGACAAATTTAAAAGAGGTTGTGTGCATTACAGTTCAAAATCACTGCAGTGCTGAGGTATATTTAGCACAGTGACTTTGTAAAAGTAAAGAAATAGTAAGAAGAAATACTTGCTATAAATATTTGCTATAAAAAGGTATGATACACAAAGGTACGACAAAAGAAAAAAAACCTTCGTCTTCAGTAGACTCTGAACTCTTTCATCTTTCCAGCTGGTTAATGCATCTTTTCTACAAGACAATTTCTAAAAAGCAGTGGTTAGGAATAATAGAGAATATACTGCATTTTGAAATGTGTGTCATTCTAAGGAGTGCGTGACTCCTGAAAGAAAAGCTTTCATATTTTTTAGTTCAGCAAACTGTGGGAATCATGCACTGAAAAATGGAAATTCTTACACGTATCTACCTCCATTTCTATAAAAAAGGTCTGTGCAGAATTTGTGTGCAACCGTGCAGAAGACTGGCTAAAAATTAAAAATCTAAGCACTTTGCTATTGCTTCACAAAATACATAGATATTGTATTCATTGCATATGGATATCCAAATTCATGTCGGTGGTAGGAAAGCTGTGTGAAGCTTTGGGACCTTGGCTGTTTTATAAATAATGAAGGAGAGCATCTGTCCACTGGCAAATGTGGGAGAAGTGAAACTGATATCATGGCTCTGCCAGCTGTTGTAAACACATGAAAGTTTCAGTAGCTGCACTGGAAATTATTCTTTCTGGGTAAAGAAATTCCTGGTCCTCCTTCTAAATTTTAGATCATTTTAATTAAGCCCTAAGTTAAGCTCTAAGCAAGACTCAAGCTTCACTAGGTATGGGTTAACTAAAGGTAGAAAAAGCTTCCTCTAGGAAGCTGTTGCAAAATATATGTCTTACTGTGCTTTTTCTCACCTGGGGAACTCGACTAAAAAGGTGTGAATAGCCTTATCCAGGCTAAGCCAGGGAAGCTTGGGGAAGAGCCAAGGAAAAAATATTTAGACTATCCAAGCAAACTTTAGCAGACTGATTTTTTTGTTGAAAATTAGAGAGAAAACGAAAAAGACTGAGAAATAGTTGGTAAAATTCAATGAGGGAGTAGCTGTAATGAAATAATGTACCTAGTCTGGTCTTAATATGGAAAGAGTTGTTTTGTTTTTACCACCTGTTTTCTTCTCTTTTGTCAGAAAGAAACCCATTGTCAGAAGAAGCAATGGCTGATGTTGGAACTGACTGGTAGCTGGCTGCTGGTAGCCCTTAATTTACTCTGGAGGAAGAGACCGGGTTCAAGCACCTTTTTAAGATATCTTCCATTTTAAGCCTCCAAAAAGATCATCTAAAATAATACTAGATTTAAATAGCAAAGCTGAATTTGAAGTGATTGTTCTGCTTGATTTCGCTGCCTTGAAGATCCGTGCAGAACTGACCACTGAATAGACAGTGCAGTGTTGCAGTACAGTATTTCATGTCTACATTAACATCGAAGAACTATCTGTCTCAGATGAACGAAGATCACAAGGATCCTGAGATGATTTGAGTTGTAATGGAGGGATGCTTCTGTGAAACTGCTAGAGGACTTCAGAGTAGGGCATCTGACTTCTCTGCCCTCTTTCACCTGTGTCAAAGTCAGAAATGAACCACTCTTGGGCATACAATCTGAGCTTTGGTGCACCTACAGACCCTGCTGAGCCAAGGACTGGACTGTCACGAAACGGGCACACAGTAGTGGCCATATTTCTGGGATTTATCTTATTTTTTGGTTTCTTGAATAACTTGACAGTCCTCATCCTCTTCTGCAAGTTTAAAACCCTTCGTAACCCAGTCAACATGCTCCTCCTGAACATCAGTATCAGTGACATGTTAGTGTGCATCTTGGGCACAACCCTCAGTTTTGTGTCTAACATCCATGGCAAATGGATCGGAGGGGAACATGGCTGTAGGTGGTATGGCTTTGTCAATTCCTGCTTTGGTAAGCCTTCCCTGATACTTCTCTCATACTATTCTTTCTAACACGAGCGCTTGAACTCGATCAGGTAGCTGACTACTCTAAGGTAAATAGAAAGTTTGATTGCCTGTCTTATGGAAAGGCCTAAGTGAAATACATAGTTAAAAACATTTTGCCTAAAAACTTTGCAAAGGAATAGCCTAGAGCTGATAAACACTCCCTAACATATCCCATTTTTGAAGTGGCTTATTTTTAAGAGGGAAAAGTGGCATATAAAAAGAAGCAAGCCACTGGAAGGAGGATTTTGACTAACTATATGAATAAAAACTGCACTTCCATCTTTTTTAGCAAAATCTATGTCAACAGTGAACTATAACCCCTTCAGTGCTGCTTCTGTCACAAACAAAGCCTCCTGAAAGTATTCCATTTACCCTCTGTAATTGTCTGTCAATCTGTGATATGAATTCCCTCTTGTTCCAAATAATGACAATTTTCATCTTTTGATACTTTCTGTTCTTCCTAAACAAAAATCTTTATTTTAAAATTAGGTGCCTTTGGAGTCAATAACAAAGGAAGTCAAATGAAATAATTGTGTCAGAATCTCCAACGTGTGTGTCAAAGTCACAAAAAAATGATATCTTGACATTTTTTTCCTGTCCTGTCAGAAAATTTCCTGCAGCTGGTTTTCTGTGTTAGATATGAATCTTTTTAACTGAAAATTATTTTAATTATTAAAAAAATCAAACAAGACCGAAGGAAAAAGCACAGTCAGAGGGCAACCTTCATCCCTCCAAGGTGGTCCAGGCTGCGATGGCAAATCCAAGGTGGTCCAGGCTGCGAGGGCAGATCCTGGCATGCTCCTGCATCTCATCCCAGCCTGGAGCTGCTGAGTATCTAACACACGTGCTGTGTTTCCAAACCTGCATTTTCTACCTGAATTTTAAGGTCTCGCTCTGCGCAGTGGTGTGCTCACTGGTATTCTTCTCTTCCTCAAACTTGTGCTCCAATAATGATAGTTATTTAAGACCATCAGCTTCCACTGGGAAATTGCTGCTGTACTGGAAGTGAGCTCTGAGGAGTTAGCAGTGCTGTAAAGTACAAAAACACAGATCTCAAAGAACCGAAAATATACCCTGGTATCAAGAATACCTAGGCTCTTTTATTTTATTTTATTTTACTTTTTGTTTTGTTTTATTTTAATCTGTGCAGATCAGAACGAGAAGTCTTCTCATTCCCTCTGTCATTTCCACTTTTGTGAGCCGTTAGGGTACTGAAATAGACTCCTGTTCCTTGAATTGTTTGAAGTTTTGGTGTACAGCTTCCTCACAATAACTTGAAGGAAAATGTTTGCAGAAGAGGCACCGGGGTTTGCATATATTCCCCAAGCCTCTGTTATTCGTGTTTTCATAACTAGGGGAGGAACTGAAAGCTGAATATTTCAGTCACTGGTCTTCTCAGGGAGGAAAACGTTAGGACTGTATTTTCCCCATCCTTTGATTTATCCTCTTTTTTATTATTTAGGGGTGGAATGGGAAGGTAACATTCGAATGGAGGAGAAAAAAAGATAAAGGATTAGAAGTGTGTCGGAAATGCCCTTAGAGCCTGTTTGCTTCTGTCAGAATACCTGTTTGTTACCACCTCAGTTCCTGTGGAATTAAAATAATGAATGAGCAAGTTTTTCCCATGGGCGAATTTGCTTAGCAAATAATTCTTTGGAGTCAAATCTTCTGTATAAATCAGATGGATGTCAGGAGAGCAGGTTTCTATGCTGTAGTGCTCATACCTGTGCTCATGTGAGAGGTTCTGGCTTAATTCTTAAAATTGGTTAGATCTTCAGAGAGCAAGAAAGCAAGCAAAGAAAAACTCAAAAACCAGAATGCTAAGGAGTAGTATGATGAATTTAATTGGAACACGCCCAGAAATGTGACTTCTGCTCCTCTGAGTTGTTATACTGATGTCAGCAGGAGACCTTGGGTGACTGAGGTAGCCAGAATGCAGATTGTTACTGAACTGTGCACATGAAAACTTTTCATGACTGTATTAAAAAAAAGCTTTTAGAATTCCTTTCTGGAAGGCATGCAGTGCTCCATGTTTTTCTTTTTCTAGTGCTTATAAAGGGCATACTGAAGGAGTTGGCTTGCAGAGTTGTAATTAAAAAACCTATGCACTAGAAGATAACATGAGTAAAAGCAAATAGTAGTAGCAGGTTGCTTCACATTTATGCATGTACATGGACAGCTTGTATCTGCAGATGAATACCACTGATCATCTATTTTTTTTCTTTTTGAATTTATGTGCTCCAAGATGTGCTAAAAAAGAGCTAATGCAGATTTGCAATAAGCTGATGACTTTTCCACTTCTTCTAAGCATTTTGCTGCATGTGCTATGGTATACAATCAGTAAGCATCATACACCGAACAAGCACCCATTTAATGGAATAGTTCATTTTCTTACAGCCATCGAGACATGAAAAGTGACATGAAAATTTTTTGTGCTTTGAGTCTCTTTGAGTCTTGAAATAATATTGTTAAAAGAAAAAAACAGAGAGCATCTCATTAATCATAGAGTTTTTTTTCCTTGTCTTCAATGGACTTTGGAAAAATTTAATAAAACTTATCAGAGTGATTCAGAAACTTGAGAGGGGGAAAAGTAAATAAATTGTGTTTCATAAGCTAGTGGCTTAAGACCTCGTGACAGTTGCAGTTTAGGGCTGAAGATAAGGAAGCTTTTTGTCAGCAAGAGGATTTTTTGACACCTATGTTGTTCACTTATGTATTGAAACTTATGTACAGGTTACAGCCTTTGGCCTGATTGGTTTAGCTGGCTTGTGAGTGGCAAAGCTAATTAGATTTATAAGCATGAACACAAGAGTTACAAAGAGTACTGTATGAGGTTACATACCTGTAACCTCAAGGTGAAGGCCAAGAAGAACTGTTCTAATGTTAGGGGTACAGAAGAGAGAGGGTGTGTGGTAAACTTCCGTTCTTCTCAATTAAGGTCAAGCTTTTTAAGAAAAAAACATTTAAATTCTTTTTTTTTTTTCCTGATGGGCTAGGTGAATATACTACTAGGGTAAACAAACCAGGACCAGGATTTCAGCTGATGTTAAACAAAGAAATTTCATTAACCTCAGTGGAATTGCACTCTCTTCTACCAAATGGATATACTTTTTTTTTTTTTTAACCTATAGTGTTGCTATTGGATACTGATGTATAACTACAGTATAACTGTAGTATAGTACTACATTATAGATAAATTTGAAGTGGGATGCTAAACTTGGTGATGTGGTGAGTATTTGACGTGTAAAACACATCTAAGTCAATTTCAAACTGTTAAAACATTTTAAAATCCTATTTTCATCTTCTAAAAGACTGAGAAGGACTAAATTTTTAGTGGTTATATTGTTCCTTCCCACTTTGTTTTGTGATGCTCTGAAAGCCACCTCTTTCTTCCTGATTAAGGTCAAATTGAGAGCGGAGGTATTCTCCAACAGGTCCCTGGCCTGGATGAAACCTGAGCCAGTGAAAGTAGGAAGCTGAGATTTGTTTCAAATTTAAGTGCATGGCAATAGATCAGTCTTTTTGTCCGAAGCATCTTATCTTTCTTAAAATTATGTAACTGTTTCCCTGGGAAGTAGTCTGGAAGGCAGATCTCATTCTTCCCCAGCAAAAATTGATAGTGCAATACACTTCGCTGTCACTTACTGTGGAATCAAGGTGCAAGTCCTTACGGGGCAATCCGGAGCGCTGCGTTGTGTGCACCAGACACCTGGGAGTCATGAGCTGAGAACCAGCACCAGGGGGTTACCATGCGCATCATGGCAAACAGAGAAGAGTAAGTGCTCTGTTTATTTACTTGTTGGTTTCCAAAAGTGTCTATTTTATGATTTCAAGCCATTCTCTGAAAGCCGACTTAGAAACCAATGGAAAGTGTGGATTCTGATCAATAAATATGCAATGTGGATTTTAAGGAGAATATTAGATAGCATGGGGCTTGCTATAGAAACATTAGAGTTGCTGTGCATTGGAAGTGGAACTGCAGGAGAAACACTGTAGGCTGTTCACATCATAAAATGATTTTATCCTGGTGTTTGTGCATGATTGCAGCTCTGTCAAGCAGTTCAGTGCAGTGGAAACTGCACATGCCACTGAGTTGGGGAAATGGATGGTCTGCTACATTCACTCCCATTACCCGCCACTTAACCACAGTTTGACAGGCTTGTGGTTATGAATTTAAACAAACATGCGAAGGGACACATGCGCAGGACACATTTTCCCAGCTGGACTCTGAGTAAACTTTGAAAGCAGGCTAAAATAAGAACTGTTAAATATAGCATGAACTGATTAAGCATTAGATTTTAATTTACGGAAAATAATTTATTTAGTAACACACTCCCATAGAGACCATATACACACAAAGTGATATCCTGTCCTAAAATTAAATTTGTCTTGCAGCTTTGACCATCTCATATGTAGTTTCTCCAGTGACCTATTAAATGTTTTGAATCTCTGGAGAGATGAAAACTTTCAGAAACGTTTCATCTTTTCTCAAGAGAGTAGGCTCTCAAACGTAGGCTTCCCAAACACACAGGACAGTCAGAATTTGAGCTTGGATGACTTTTGGAGTTCATTTTCAGAACTGCTACTTTATGCCATATCAGCATTAAATATTCAATGGATTAATTCACGTGGGAAAGATGAAGCCTTCCCTGGCTCGAGGAATCCAACACTACTAGATTCTAGTGCTGAAAAGCTTCAAGGTACTTCCCTAACAAAGAAATTTTCGTGGCTGTTGAACTCTAAGCTCATATTTTGAGGTATATTTTTTGTGTATTGATTGATTGTATATTTTCTCTCTACCTCAGCCTCCATGGTAATTAAAACACCTGGCTGTTTGCCTGAGAAGTTGATTCCCATATTTCATTTTTAAAAATGTACAGACTTCAGACTAGTGTTATGTCAGTGAGCGTCACTGTGCAAGAGGGCATAGACATGCCTCTGCCATGTGCAACCTCTGTGTTATGA